ATTTCAATCTGGTGGTAACCTGACTTCAAATCCAACTTCGAGAAGTACGTCGCGCCGCCTAACCGCTCAAGGAGATCATCAATTCGAGGGAGAGGGCCGGCGTTCTTTTCGGTTTGTGTGTTAAGTTTCCGATAGTCGATGCATAACCGTAGATCTTTGTTCTTCTTCCGSACGAAGAGAACAGGTGCACCGTATGGCGAGCAACTAGGGCGAATCCAACCTTTGTCGAGAAGATCATCGAGTTGTGCGCGAAGCACCTCGAGTTCCTCTTCGCTCATGCGGTAGATACATCCATGCGGAGGGACGACGCCAGCCTCGAGAGTGATCCCGTGATGTATAGGCCGATCCGGAACCGTTCCGGTGGGAGCCTCGAAGACGTCTCTATACTCGTCCAAGAGGTGAGAAATGCGTGGGTCCGGCGGTGACGCGGCTGGTCCGTCCGGCGAGGGAAGAGCATGCAAGAATACAAGGCCCATCTCCTCGACGTCATTCCGAGCAATGGCGTCGCGAATCCGCGCAACGGAAACCACGTGACAAGCAATCGAAGTGTGAGGGGTCGCGACCGTACATGGGACTAACACTCCGTTCCGATCACGGATGTGAACGGTTCGGTCATGGAAGTTCACCGGATGATCGGCGCTACTCAACCAAGACATGCCTAGAATCATGTCGAACTTGGTATCGAGGATGTCAAAAGATACCGGCTCGCACGCAAGTGGCGCAAAGTAGACCGGAACGCCGTCAACGCATCGGTCAATTGACTTTTGTGTGCGGCCGTCCGCGAGTGTAACTTGCGTAGGTTGCGTCTTCCTTCGAACGCGCGGGCCAAGACCTRCGCGGGCCATAAAGGCTTGACTCATGAAGTTGCGAGACGCTTCGCAATCAATCAAGGCACTACAGGTTGCCTTTCCGATTTGAATGCGGATATAGAGCAAAGGTGCATCAGTTTCGGCGTACCTTTGGGTGGCATGCTCGCGGTCGATCTTCGCAAGATAGGAGCGGAGATCGGCAACCGCTACCCCGTTGTCCGTCAACGGAGCTGGTACTGTAGTGTGCAAGTAGAAGCGTAGATTTGTCATCAAGGCGTTGCAATATGGCCTTGGCAATGTTCCGGTCGAGGGTAGAGGTATCCAAACGAAATCCTCTCTCGTGAGCGGGTCAAGCTCCTCAAGTCTTGACCACGCCGTCGAGTCCTCGGAAAACAGTGGCGAACTGACCGGATCACTTGCCGACGGTGTACAGGCTGCGCATACGCAATCTACATGCACGTGGCTAGGCTGGTCTAATGGTGGTACCAGCTGGGCGACATAATCCTCGTACGTAGCACGAGAATCAGCGACTAACGCATGCTCCCCGGTAGTGACATCGATTGCTAGCAAGGCAACCCGGTCCGGCGGAGTGAGGAGAGACGTCGCCCCTCTCCTTGCGTAACTCAGTTTCCCGAGTTTGCTAGACGGGGTACGCGTGCCTTTCCCTTTTCGGGGCATTGTGCGGTCACATGAGTGACTCCGTTGCACCAAAGGCAGTATCCGTACTTCTGAYGTAGGTCATAGACCTCCTTGGTGATCTTATATGTCGTCCATGGCTGCCCAGCTCCCGTCGCTGCCGTCTCTTGTGTCGCCTTGTTCTTACGAACTCTCTTGGGACGCTTCGGCGGGAGCACTGCGACAATTCCTCCATCACCCGAGGATGCTGCTGCAGCGTGGTGGTCGTCTGTTTCCTCATAAATCACGGCATTGTTATGTGTCGGACGTTGATAGGCCTGCTTAGCCACATAATGCGGCTGGGATTGTCTCTCGTTAGCGGCCTTGTCGTCCGTTTGGATGACCAAGTTCGCTCGATCCAGAATGCCTTGGAATGTGGTATAGTCGTACTCATTACCGAGTGCCGACCGCAATCCCGCACATGATCGCGAGAAGAACTCGGATCGTTGATTTGGAAACGTCAAGTCGAAGCCTGGTGTGGTCACTATCTTTTGCCACTTCATTG